CATGAGTATGACTATGCTAAGGAACCAAGAGATCTAATTCGTGTCACCCTACATGTTACGGATCCGCATTTATTAACCCTTATTTTAAAACTATAATTTTTTTTTACTTATTACATAGTCATAATTTTAAAATTATGAATATAGCAAACTAGGCTATATATAAGGCTAACTCTTTTAAAATCCATCATGAGTGACACCATTTAGATCCCTTGAATCTTTAGTATGGGGCAGGATTGGCGACCTCGTCAAAGTTATACGTACCCAAAGGCTTTACCCTGTTCACTTAGATGTTGATTATTACACTTTTCATTAGATGGTGTGCTAGGCTAGGACTATGTCTTGAATCTTTAGTATGGGGCAGGATTGGCGACCTCTTCAAAGTTATACGTACCCAAAGGCTTTACCTTGTTCACTTAGATGTTGATTATTACACTTTTCGTTAGATGGTGTGCTAGGCTAGGACTATGGTGCTAGATAGTATTTTCGACGCCTCTGACTATTGTTTTTTGTCAGGTTGTTTGTTCTAGTCATGCTTCACTTTTGTGCTTTTTGGTGTGTTTGCGCTTGCTTCTTTTGATATGTAATGATACTATGTTAGGGTGGTCTTCTGCAGAGGTCATGCCATATATATACACACACACACAAGTACAAATAAGGGGGGAGCAACGTAATAATTACTACTAACATTTTTCTACAAGCGCTACTTAGCTCCCCCACTAGACACGTCGCATGTGTGTTTGACTTTCTTGTTGACATTATCTTCGTGCAGGTCAAGTTCTTTTTTTATTTTTCCTGATATACATTTTAGAGTCCTAGGAAGAGTGTATTAGAAATAAGGAGCAGGCACAAATTCCAAGGCGTCAGTTGAATGGAACCAAGTGACGGCGACCGATAGGAGTAGGTGTGTCTCGTACCTTAATTCTAAATTTTATTTATATATAAAATTAGGATCAGGTTTCTTTTCTGGGATATTTCGTCGACCCAGCGACACCAATTTTTATAATTTTATATATCACATGTTTTTTTGCTTTTCTTAAATATTTGCATGCTTGAATTGTTTTCTTAAGTTCTTTCTAGTTTATCTGAAATGATAAAAAAAATATAACTTGGTCTCTCTAGAACCTAAAATGATAAATTTTTCAATATCGTAATAATAAAAGATCGAGATAATCTACAATTTGGGATTAAAACTGTCAGGATTTTTCAAAACTTGTTTTTACTTTCCTGGATGGCGTTCAGGCCGGTTTTAAAACGAGTTGCATAACATGACCTTCACCCAAATCATATAATAAGGTCTCATAATATTTAAGAATCGCTCTAGATAGCTGCATTATATGAATGTACCGAAGAGAAGCTCACGTGTTCTTCAACCCGGCTGACCCAGCAAATATTTCTACTTATGTGGTTGTCTAGTGCGCTTAGGGTGTTAGAAACTCCCCGACCCAGACGGGATGTAAGTCCTTTGTTAATTTCTTTAACTTTACAGCTGAGCCTTGCCTTTTTTTCCTTCCAGTGGCATCCTCGCCACATCCGCAAGTATAATTCCTGCCTCTTAGAGCTTCACCTGATAGTCATAGAATAGAGTTTCGTTCCTTTGACCTTAGAGTCATCGGGGTCCCCGCGGACGACTCAATTCACAAATTGCTGATTAGGGATTTCAGGACGTATTGGGTTGACTACCTTCACAACCAGATAGAATTAAGGTCCTAGTGCTTGAGAAGAAGGGTCTGTGGTGCCACAACCTGACTACCTCTACTTGTTAAAGACTACTCTTCTCTTACTTTGACTACCCACTTTGAGCCCCGTCACCCCTCTTACCTTTGTTGGTATCATCTTAATCTCGATTACTAATGAGTTATCGTCCGTTTGAGATACAACGATTTATCCTCTGCCTTTATGGTCTGGATGCGTTTTGACAAATCGGGATTCCCCGTCATGATGGTTTAGTTGTTTTGCAGACTCTATATGCTAATGAGTCAGTTACCCATGTAAGACCGTGAAAGACTTACTCTCCTCCACGTGGCTTAGTGAAAGCTTTAAAAGCATCAGAACATTCCACTGCTAAAAAACTGTCCTTTGATAGCTATGTACGGGTTGTCACTTCTAATATAAACAAAACTCTCTGAATTATGAGTATTCTTGGGCAACCCCTAATACGTCCTCTTGCGAGCACTCTAGATCCCAGAACAGACAAACACATATAAATCTCTTGTTGTGGGTAGTCTATGGTGGTATTCTTTCATACATATTGGTTCAAGATACTTCCATCCAATCTTGTTTGGGTGAACATACTTGACCTATCCTTATGAGGTTTATCGCACGTAAGCTCTCTACGTTTTCTTTCTTTTGTTGATATTTTTGTCAAATGTTCATCTTTTTCTGGTTCCTCTTTGAACATACTTGACCTATCCTTATGAGGTTTATCGCATGTAAGCTCTCTATGTTTTCTTTCTTTTGTTGATATTTTTGTCAAATGTCCATCTTTTTCTGGTTCCTCTTCTCCTGATCATTCACATGATCCGGAAAAAAGACTTACTCGGACAAAAGAAATATATCACAATGGACAAACTGGAGACTCCCAAAAAAAAAAGAGCAAGAAACAAAACATCATGCACAGGTATTCTCCTTTTTTACACTATTTGTTACTAACTGACAGTTGTGAATCAAAGTACTTTGAGGAGGTCACTCAAGTTGAAAATTCAAGGGAGTTGGAGCTTGTCATGGATGAAGAAATGCAATCTTTAGAGTCAAATCAGACATTGAATTTGACGGTACTACAAAATGGCAAAAAAAACACTGTACAACAAGTGGGTCTATAGGCTGAAAGAGGAGTTAGATGGTAGAAAGCACTAAAAGCCAAGATTTGTTGTAAAGTGTTTCCAGCAGAAGAAAAGAGTAGATTATACAGAGATCTTCTCCCCGGTGGTGAAAATGACGACGGTCAGAGTTGTGCTTAATCTGATAACAATGGAAGATCAACATCTGGAGCAGATTGATGTAAAAATAGATTTTTTACACGGAGATTTGGAGGAGACATGGTGCAACCACAAGGTTACAAGGTTCCATGCAAAGAAGATTTGCTCTGCAGATTGAAGAAGAGTCTCTATGGCTTAAAGCTTATAGGAGGTTTGACATATTCATGTTAGACAATTGGTACTTGAAGTGTTAGGCAGACCACTGTTACTTCATCAAATACTTCAGCAATTGTTACATATTGCTTCTTTTATATGTGGATGACATGTTGACTGCAGGGGCAGATATAGAGAAAATCAGGGACTTGAAGAAACAATTACCAAGTGAGTTCGAGATAAAGGATTTAGGTCCAACTAGAAAGACCCTTGGGATGAGAATCAACAGGGACAGGATTGCAGGAACACTGAAGTTATCTCAAGCTGAGTATGTTGAGAAGATCCTATAGAGGTTCAACATGAGTGAGTCGAAAGCAATTGACACTCTTAGGAAGTCACTTCAAACAATCTAAGAAGCTATCGCCTAACTCTGAAGCAGAGCAAGCACATATGGAGAAAACATTGTATGCTTAAGTAGTTCGAAGTTTGATGTATGCGATGATTTATACTAGGCCAGATATTGCATATACAGTTGGAGTGGTCGGCAGGTAAATGGGCAATCTAGGCAAATATCATTGAGAGGCGGTAAAGTGAATTCTCATGTATTTGAGGGGAACATTCAATAGGACACTTTGCTATGGAAGTGTTGGGGTCAGACTACAGGGATTTGTAGATTTAGGTCTGGCAAGAGAAGTGGACAATAGGAGAAGTACAATGAGGCATATCTTTAAATTGGGGGAACACAGCAGCAAGTTCCGTTTCCAGGTTGTAGAAAATCGTTGCACTTTCACTACGGATGCCAAATATATTGCAATAACTAAGGCAAGCAATGAGATGATTTGGCTATAGTTTCATGACAGAATTGGGCAAGGAGCAGAGAATTAGAAAACTTTACGGTGATAGTATGAGTTTGATTCATCCTGCTAAGAGCACTATTATTCATGCCAGAACGAAACACAACCAACTGAGGTATCATTTCATTCGCTCGCTTCTTGAAGATGGATAGTTGTTCCTGAAGAAGATAAACACAGCTCAGAATCCTGCGAATATGTTGAAAAAAGTGGTGACTATTGAGAAACTGAAGCTATGTTTAGCTTCAATTGGGTTTCATGAAGATTGAGATCGGAGGTGAGCCGCACCAGAGTATGTGACCACGATAAGTGCTATGAAGGCAATTCAGATGCAAGTGCAGGTACAGAGGACTGGTGTTTGGTGTCATCATGTTTAAGTGGGATATTGTTATTTGTGTGGAGCAGATGCAGCCCGAGAAGCAGAGATGCTCGTGCATATGCGTCAACTGGCGCAGCAGACAGTAAGGTCGGCACATATGTGTCGACCATTTAGCGCATATGCACCCGCTCATTGAGGTTACAGCAATGTTGGTGCATAGGCACCAACCTTTAGGCACCTAAGCAACCAACATAGGCGCCAAGGGCAGTTTTAAGTGGGATTCGATTTTTAAGTCCAAATTCAAGTGGCGTAAGATATAAGAAATTGATTATATACATGGATCATATAAGAAAAACAGAGAAATATGTTAGTGTACAATGAAAAAATTGAATATACACATAGTAATATATACCAACTCTACTCTCGTTATTTATTTTTCAAATTCTAAAAAATTATAACATGGATCATGTTAAAGTACAATGAAGAAATTGAATGTCGAGGCGAGTTAAGGAAAAAGAAAATAATTTATTGGAAAACAATCGAGGTGAGTTAAGGAATAAGAAAATAATTTATTGGAAAACAATCAGATACAACTGCTTCCAAAATACCAACAGGCACTTTTCTAATGCATAAATTTATCCTGATTCCTGTATGGCACCTATAATGTCAAATGTTACAAGTAGCAAAGTTTTCTTACGCTATGGAATCAAAATAAGCTCTCGTTGAAACAATCTGAAACAGTTTAAGCATTAAGAAGCCTACCCTTTAGCTTGTACTTGCCATAGATTTACCACACCATCAAGCGCACTGCAAAGTCATAAGAAGGAAACAAACTGTAAACAAAAACTCAATGGAAATTTCAAATTTAAATAATTTAAAGAACATAATTGATTTTAAAATATTAATTTTAAAATTAATCAGTCATGGTGCCTAAGAACAACGGGCTTGAGGCGGAAAAAAATTGTATGCCAGCTTATAACTATTTTAATAGTGCCAAACAAAAATACTTTGCAGCAAATTCAACCTCGTGGCATGACAAATAAACACTAAACAGTAAGAACTGCGTAGTTATTTTATTCTATCTATCAGCTGAGACACCAGTAAAAGAAGATAATGGATGGTTAGGAGTATCAATAATATTACTACTAAGGGCAGCTGCGTTGCTTCTTATTCCATTAAACACAATCTTCTACAATAAATGACCAAAAAAGAAATCTATAGTAAATTCAGATACATGAGTGACTGAATACAGCTTTATACTGTATTCTCGAGGCATACAACCTAAGTATTTACAACTTAAATTGATAGTGGGTGATACTTAGGCAAAAATTTAATTGACAAAAAATAAGGCTTAGTTCATTATAAAGCCAGCCTGGAGCACTGACAACCATATTGTCTCTATTGTGATCTAAAAGTCATAAGTTTGAAAAGTAAAATCTTCTCAGCGTGCATTGTAAAGTAAAGCTGCACAATTCAAACGCTATCAAGTCCTAATATTTATGGGAATTCATACACAATGTTGACTTTATGTCCATCTCCTCTCCCTCAATCCAAACGAGAGCAACTTCCGCAAGCACTCATCGAATTCGTTGTCGCTAGTCATTGGGACAGCTACCTTTTGTTTTCTTTTTTTTTCTCTCTTTCTCCTTATCTTTCTGATTTCCTTTTTATTGTTTGCCTACATTCATTCAAGCTAAAATTACTTTTTATTGCAGCTGTCGGAATCATTCAGCATCATTGTCATTGAGATGATATTGTCGTTCTTCATCTTTTTTGTGCACTCTATGCAGCTGTTGTGATTATTTATTATCATTGTCATGGAGACAAATTGTTGTCCTCCTAATTCACACTTTCACTAAATCCTAGCTCCCATCTCATCATTTTAGGCATACCTAATAGGTATATTTCTCTAAAACAGATTGACTTATGCTAAAGCCATGGAATTAAGGGGAATAATTTCAGTAGCGATTTAATTCCCTAATTATTATGTATCCTTAAATAAAAATACATAGCTATTGTAACACAACATATGAGTATGTGTATTATGTGTGGTTGTGTCAGAAACAATGTTATTTAGGTCTTTTAGTTTGTTACTCGGAGGATATTATTTCTTAGGATTCCAAAGGAGTGTTACATTTTGAGGCAGTGGCTTACATTTCTTAGGTGAAACACATACCCTCCTTAGTTAGGGGCATTATCCTCATCACTTGCTATAAGTTTGCCCGTGTAGTTAATAGAGAAACAGCCAAACCATAAAAATTCAATGAAATTTTTATGATCACAGTGATAAAGGATGTCATGCTTGTTAGGTTTACCAAGCCATTTGATGCAGAGACTCAAAATACTCTGAAAATGGACCAGGTGATAGCATAACCAGTTTTATTTGTGTGTTTTACCATGTTTGGCATGAAATAAATTCGTTATTATAACAAAATACTTTTATACATTTATGAGACATGCTTTCGTACTTGATGAACGTGAATATTAGTGTTACACCCTTGTTGACATGACTAACCAAGATGATGGGTCCATAAAGTGACAACTTTCTTAGGATTCATTGGTATTCACTAGATGGATGAAATTTTCCCTCTTTTTCAAAGTATTATGAGAGAGACTATGGATATAAGATACAATATAACTTGCTGATGAGTCATTTTTGGATATATAAATATGAAAGATGTGGTTGTGGATGGATATTCAAACATGCAAAAGCATTAATAACTATTTTTTATATGGACAGAGCAAATCATTGCCAAATAGCTGAAATTTTCTTATTAATCACACCACAAGGCATTACAATAACATGATACTATTATGATATTTGTAGCACACCTATGCATTGATTTTCATGCCAATTTCATGTATCATATACATGTCTGTTTTATAGGAACAACGAGAATAATTCCCAAATTTATCGGGGCTTAGGATCAATTAGAAACTAAACCACACCACAGAATAACAGGATCGCATAAAATTCGAGAAAACCAAAATAAATCTAAATTCAAGCATAATCAAAGCAACCAAATAAATACACGAGAATTTTATGTGGAAAAACCCGAGAATGAAAAAAAAAATCACAGAGCCACACCATCAAAAAAATTCCACTATGAATTCAGAAAGTTTTTTACAAAGAACATGCACCAATTTCCTCTCTACACATAAGAAAACTTATAGAACTCACTCCACTAGTTTCCTACTCTGATCTGACTCGAAAAAACGCACGCCAAGATCACAGAAATCCTCCTCTCCGACGATTATCTCCTTCACCAGAAACTTGTCGAAGAAACCTCGCGCAGGAACTTACCCATTACGTCGCTCAAATTCGGCAATTAAAACCCCAAAATGGAGTAACTGCGATGGTGCGCAACAATGGCCAGCTCTCGGGAAGGAAAGATCGCGCCCTACACAATGGGCGCTTAAGCGTCAAGGCTGGCGCTGGAGAATCAGTTTCTCATTTTACGCCCCAATGTGGGGGCTTCAGCGCCCACAGGCCAACACAAAGGCGTCAGGTGCTCGATGTCCCATCCTGTGTTGGTGTTTCGTCTCCATGAGAACTTAGCAATCTCCCACTTGGAGACTATAGCACCCAACACCAGTCCTCTGTACCATCACCTCCATCTGAATCACCTTCATAGTCACGTACTGTGGCTCATCCCTGGTTTCAACCTTCATGAAACCTAACTAAGGCAAAGCATAGCTTCTGTTTCTCAATAGTTACCACCTTCATCAACATATCTGCAGGATTCTAAGATGTGTATATCTTCTTGAGTAATAACTGTCCATCTTCAAGGAGAGAGTAAATAAAATAATACCTAAGCTGAAAGTGTTTTGTCCTGGCATAAAAAAGTTGAATTCTTAGCAAGATGAATTGCACTTATACTATCATTGTAGAGATTTCTAATCCACTGCCCTCTGCCCAATTCTAACATAAAACTCTGTAATAAAATCATATTCTTGCTAGCCTCAATGATAGCAATATATTCAACCTCCGCAGTTGAAAATACAACATCTTCTGTAACCTAAAAACCCAACTCACCGATGTGTACCTAATGTAAAGATATAACTTGTAATATTTCTCCTATTATCCACATCTCCTATCAGATCTAAACCTATAAGTCCCTATAGACTAATACCTGCATTTCCATAGCAAAGTGACATGTTGATTGTTCCCCTCAAATACCAGAGAATCCATTTTACTGTCTCCCAGAGATGTTTGTCTGAATTGCTCATGTACCTACTGACAACTCCTACTGCTTATGCAATATCTGGCCCGGTACAAATTATTGAAACATTAAATTTCCAACTATTGAAGGATACGAAGTTCTCTCCATAGGTGTTTATAGTGCTTAAGAGTTTGGCGATGGCTCCTTAGTCTGAAGTGCTACCAAAGAGAGTGCTAACTAGTTTCACCTCACTCATGTTGAACCACTATAGGACATTCTCAACATACACTGCCTCTTTTGTAGGATTTTTTCAACATACAGTGTTCCTGCACTCCTGTCCCTGTCTGCACTCCTGTCCCTGCTGATTCTCATACCGAGAATCTTTCTAATTGAACCAAAATCATTCATCTCAAACTTACTTGATAACTGATTCTTCATGTCCCTAATTTTCTTCATATCCGCCCCCACAATCAGCATGGCATTCACATACAAAAGAAGTAGAATATACAATTACTGAAGTATTTGATGAAGCAACAGTGATCTGTCTGACACCTCAAGTACTAGTTGTCTGGCATGAACCTGTCAAACCTCATATATCACTGTCTCGAGGCCTGTTTCAAACCATTGAGGCTCTTCTTTTTAATCTGCAGACCAAGCCTTATTTGTCTTGAACCTTGTAACCTTGTTGCACCATGTATAACATCTCCTCTAGATCCCTATGTAAGAAAGCTATTTTTGCATCTATCTGCTGCAGATGTAGATCTTGTTCTGCTACCAGACTCAGTACAACCTTGAGAGTCATCGTGTTCACCACTAGGGAGAAGATCTTTGTATAATCCACTCCTTGTTGGAAAGTCTTTACAAAAAGCCTTGCCTTGTAGCACTTGCTACCATCTGATTCCTCCTTCAACCTGTAGACTCACTTGTTGTGTAGTGCTCTTTTGTCATTTGGTAGTACCGTCAAATCCGAAGTCTGATTGGACTCCAAAGAATTCATTTTTCACCTTCAACCTGTAGACTCACTTGTTGTGTAGTGCTCACAAGAAGTTTGGTAGTACCGTCAAATCCGAAGTCTGATTGGACTCCAAAGAATTCATTTTTCATCTATGGCTACCTCCCACTCCCTTGAATCTTCAACTTGAGTGGCCTCCTCAAAGCACTTTGATTCACCACTATCAAATAGTAACATATAGTATAAAGAAGGAGAATACCTATGTACGGGTCGTATCACTCTGATGGATCTTCTAAATTTTGTCGCAGGTGACTAAGAAACTTCTAGCGCTTCTTCTGGCTCGGTACTTCTTTTCTTCATATTCCTAATCATCAGTGTCATCGATCTCAACATATATAGATTCTTCAAAAGTAGCTTACAGACTGTCATGGGTTTTGATCTTGTCCTTGTACATCTCTATTTCATTTAAAGTGACGTCTCTGCTTCTACTGAATTTCTAATTCTGATAATTTAGAACTTGTATTCAAATTCATCTAAGTCATTCCAATGAAAGTGCACCTAACAAATTTTGAGTCAAGCTTGCTCCTGTACCCTAGATCAACATGCACATATGAAAAACGCCTAAATACTTTTAAATGAGAACAATGTACCTTTTTATCACTTCAGGCTTCTTCAGGTAAGTCTTTCTCCAAAAATACTCATGAACTACAATGCTTCATCCAAAAACTGTTTTGACAAGTCTGCATGTAGCCCCATGCTCCTAGCACGCTATGTGATTGTTCTGTTCATGCGCTCAGCCACACCATTCTGTTGCAGTGTCATTGGGACAGTGAACTCTTGTATGGCCTCATCTATAGCACAGAACTTCTGATCGTGATACTCGCTCCCGTTACCTGATCTGAGACACTTCAACTTCAAGTCTGTCTCATTTTCTACCATAGTCTTTTACTTCTTAAAAAATTCAAATACATCAGATTTCTACTTTAAGAGATAAACACATATCTTTCTCGTGTGATCATCAATAAATGTGACAAAATAGCAAGAGTTTCCAATTGACTGAACTGAAGTAAGACCTCATTCGTCAGTATGCAATAACTTCAATTTTTTTTATTTCACCACTAACCCGCTCTTAGAGAAAGAAACTTTCTTCTATTTGTCATATTTACAATCTTCAAAAAAAATCAAGATCGGTTGATTTTAACCCATGAAGCTTATTTTTAGAATGTAAGGACTTTATATATTTCTTGCTCATATGGCCAAACTTACAGTGTCACAGCTCTGCATCCCTCTACTTCCAGCCACATCAATGAAATCAATCATTTCATTGATCAAATAAAATGTGTCTTCAATGTTGCCCCAAGCTATCACTAATGCCCCTTGGACACCTTCCACGAATCACCCGTCCTGACTTTACCAGCTGGCTCACAGAGATAAGATTTCTCTTCAAACTTGGAATATGTTTAACTTCAGTAAGCTTCCAGACTATTCCATTCAACAACCTGATATCAGCATCACCCTTACCTACGATACTGCAGGCATTGTTATCTCTCAAATAAACCTTCAGCACTCTGAGTGTAGTTTTTAAATATTTCTTTATTGGGGCAAGTATGAAAGGAGGCAATTGAATCTACTATTTATGATTCAATGTTGACTACGGATAACACCAGCGAGTCATTTTGGATTTCATGAATAGAGACATTTGTAGAAAAACTCATTTTCTATCCTCCACCACCAGCTTTCCTTGAAACTTTGCAGTCCTTCTTAAAATGTCATTTTTTACCAAAATTTCGGCATTCTCCTCTACTTGACTTTGGTTTTCCTCTCTTGGCATTGGATCTGTCTCTGCTTGTATTCCTGCCCAGATTCCTTCCTCTGTTATCAGCATTCAGCACAGAACCTGGAGATTCATCATTCGTTGCTTTTTCGCGAACTAATTCATTCAGCATCAGACCCACGATGTCATCGAAGTTCAACTTCGAAGCCCTTGAAGAATTGCTCGCCGACGTTACCAAACCATAACAATTGTCCAGCAATGATAATAGTATCACCAGTGCTTTGACCTCATTATCAAACTTGATCCCTATATAACACAACCGGCTCATCATAGTGTTGAAATTATTGAAATGCTCTGCCACTGAACTATCTTCCAACATCTTCATATTGAAAAACTTCATCAGAAAAATCTTCTGCTAGAAAAACCTTATTCGAAGCAGAAGGTTTTTCATACATCTTGATCAATGTCGCCATGAGATCTACGTAGTTTTCTCATTTGCAATGTTGAATGCAATATATGAGGAACGTGATAACCTGATCAAATCTAATGTCGTTCAATCCAACACTTCTCATTCCTCCATAGGCACAGAGACTTAGGCTTCTTTGTAATTCCTTGTAGTGGTAAGTATAATTTTTTATGATAGAGCGAATCTTCTACCTACGTCTTCTAGAAATGCGAAGTTTGTCCCATTGAACTTCTCGACTTTGAACATCATTTCTTTGGTCATTGCTTTCACTCGAATCAAACCCTTCTGATACCAGTTTGATAGGAATAACGAGAATAATTCTCAACATTAACGAGGCTTAGGATCAATTAGAAACTAAACCACGCTACGAAATAACAAGATCGCACAAGATTCGAGAAAATTGAAACAAAATCTAAATGAAACAAAAATCAAAGCAACCAGAAAAACACACATGAATTTTGCGTGGAAAAACCTGAGAATGGGAAAAAACCACGGAGTCACACCACGAGAAAAAAACTACTATGAATTCAGAAAATTTTTTACAGAGAACTTACATCAGTTTCCTCTCTACACACAAAGAATTTTATAGGCACGTTGAGATCACAGAAATCCTCCTCTCTGACACTTATCTCCTTCACCAACAACTTGACGAAGAAACCTCATGCAGAATCTTACCCATTACACCGCTTAAAACAAAAAAACGGAGTAACTGCATCGGGCGCAAAAGCGCCCAGCTCTCGAGGAGAGATTGCGCCCTGCACAAGGGGCGCTTAAGCACCCAAGGCCGACACTCGAGCATAGGCTTCTCAGTTTGCGCCCTAATGTGGGCTCTTCAGCGCAGCGCTCGGTGTCTGATCCTGTGTTGGTGCTTCGTCTCCAGAAACTTAACACTGTAGTCATGTCATTATACTTTAATAAATAGACATTCTTTATTTTTTTTGTCTTAAAAACTCATTTCTTTTTAATATTCCATTTTATACATCCTATAAGGTTGATTGATGGATAGTCATCACAAAAATAGATTCATCAAAAACAACTAGTCTTAGGGTTCCATGTTTACTACTATAACCATAATTTATTATTTTAAAATTTATTCTGAATTTTGCTCTATTACGGCTTTTTTAGTTGACCTCTTAATTTCTATTAGTTTGATGATTTAGTTTTCCCTTGATGCTACATTATTTGAATATCCATTGATTCAGAAAAACTTCATTTCTTATATATCACCACTACATATGTATGTTTACATTTTTTTGTGCATATGAATCATTTCTCAAGAATACATAACTGCCTTATTTCACCTTAGCTCGTAGGTTTGTCTCACATAAGAAAAATCCCTTCATGATGTCTCATCATTTTGCACGGGCACATTGCATTTTTTAATAAAATTTAACAATCATATTGAGAACAATCTAAATGCAACTGAATAGCATTATGAGGATTAAGTGATCAAATTTTTGTAATGACAATTCCAAGAAGGATTAAACAATTTGACCTTTTAAGTTCCTAATGCAACAGAAGCAATTAATGACAAGAACCGAAAGGAATTTGAGGAGACAAAACTTAAGACCATCACTCAAAAAGGATAAATTATAAAGCGTTTCGCATGTCAGGTAAAACTCAGGTATGCTTCACATAATGGGATTTCTTTGCAAATATTTTATGGTCCGATAGTCCTAAAACTATTTGGTCATAATGCATGGGCTATCTGAGGCAATCATATTTGTTAGAAAGACTAAAAGAAGTTATCATTCCAGAAAAAAATGCACTGGAAAAGATGTGCTGTAAGATATGCCGCATGCCCTCACCCCTACCTAGTAACCAGTAGTTGATCATCGACAGGGCTGAGCACAAGAGTTCTCAGCTTCCTCTTATGCTGGCTATGAATGTAAGTGCCTGGCTGGAATGGAATTATATTCGGTGAAGAACTCTTTCGTACATTTGGGATCAAGTCCTGATGCTCCTTCTCAACTGTAAGATATTAACAGAAAAGATTTGAGTCATCATTGTCTTCGCATTCCTAGCATTGACAAAACTTCCATGATGAAAAATTGTATAACGGTCAATCTGTAAGAGATCATATTTACCAAGCTTCCTCTTTTCTGAGCTGCGTACCGTTGTCGTTTCCCTCATTGATTTCTCGGGAGCCTTAGGCGTGGGCTGATATAAAGAAGTTGGTTTACTGCGAGCCGCTACCTCCGGTGGAGGAACTTTCGTTGTTGTAACCTTGGGGTTTATTGAGGGAATAACAAGCGGCGGTCTCGACAAATGGCTCGATGCAATGGTCTCTGAACGGGCACCAACTCCATTGACAAGAGCGGGGCTTTCTGCCCTCGATCGCCTGCCACCGGCTGGTCCAGAATCTCCAGATGACCCCCGCAGTCGAGCCAGCTGCAACCGTGACTCCTGCAATCTCCTCTCTGCGGCCTCAGCCTACAGTTAAGCAATCAAATGATATAAAAAAACAGAGCAAGGTAAATCTAGGGCTCCCATCGTTCGGAACGCTATGCGAGACCTGGGATTGGTAATAGGAAGCTTTCTGGTTGAGCTGCTCAAATTCCTTGGTGCGGTGCTCGATGAGAGCGATCAGCGCCTCTTCCTGCTCCTGAATGGAGTTCCCTAGAAGACCTTCCCCTCCTTCGTTTTCCGATTGTTCCAAGTCGCCGTTTTCCTCCAGCTTTATCTTCTTTGGAAGAGGATGGAGAGCCATGGCCGATTCTTGTGCCCCGTCTTCGTCTTATCCCGCACTAATCTGGTTCCAATGATTCGAGAGCTGAAGGCGAACTCGCCGTTCTATGGTTTCACTGAGGATAGGACAGGAAGGATTGAGATCTCGAGAAAGAAAAGTCGCTTAGATTCTGCTGGTGGTGGTGCTTCCTTATGTCCCGGACTCCAGCGTTTATGGGAAGGCCAGAAATCGCAATTTGAACGGGAAAGAGGGGAGCACCGTGCTGGAAAATATGATTTTACATGAAACGTAACAAGTTCTTCGGATAAGTATTTTTTGCTAAATTCTTTTTTGAAAAATTATGATCTGAATTTCATCTCAAATCATTAAATATTTAGTACATTTTGCACAAATATTGAGTAAAATCACTAAGAGCTTGCTATTTTTCTTAGCCATTCAACTGAGATTTCTTCTTACGGTAGGATATGAACAAGTGTGATAAACTTAATTTAAATCTACTTTAGCATCAATGGTTTCTTTTTCAAATATTTGATTTACGTTATAGGTGTATTCTCTAAATGGTTTTGTAATTATTCATATTCTTCAGATTGAATTTGTACAAGAATTGTGATAATTTTGATGGAGACTAAATGCATAATCAGATAAATAATAGAGGACAAAGGCTCAAATAAATTGCATTAACACCCAAAAAAGTTTACATCTCATTCTAACCATAGGTAATACTTTTTGAATTATGTTCAAAATTGATTCAAATCATGTTCAATTTATCATTGATTTTGTCCTGCTTATGTTTTATTCTTGTTTGAATATGATTTTATATGACCAGATCGCGGCAGCACGCATCTCAATGTAAAGCATATGAACACAGCAAATGAAATGGTCCCCGTTCAAGATGTCGCAGAACCAGTCAACAAACTAAATTAAATGATCAAGAAGATTAATGTCAAAGCAAGGAGATCACCGTGCAACCATGTACAATCGTTCGCCTAGTCAACAGGCTGACCAATAAGGAGGTCGAACGAAAGACGCCCACAAATGATCAAGAAGATTAATGTCAAAGCAAGGAGATCATCGCGCAACCCTGTACAATCGTTCGTCTAATCAGCAGGCCGACCAATAAGGAGGTCGAACGAAAGACGCCCACAGGATGAGCAGAACGAAAGATGCCTTATAATTCGTCGAACGAGGCGAGCGAACCAGGATTCGAGAATATGTCATGGGGATATTTATACACCTAAAATATATAGTGTTTTCATACACATTTTTATATCTTTTTTTGAAATATTGCACTTTAATGAAAGGTATTTGTATGTTTTTCTTTCAGGTATAATCAAATGGATAAAAAATCCTAAAAGTAGTGAAAAATGGTCAAATTTGGAGCAAAAAATGAATAAAGATGCAAAAATGAACTTGGCGCCTAAACACGAGAGGCTCCGCGCCTACAATGAATAAAGATGCAAAAATGAACTTGGCGCCTAAGCACCAGAGGCTCCGCGCCTACGCGCCAAGTACCCCGCGCTTAAGCGCTAGAAGTAGTTACTTAAAGTAGTTACTTGATGAATTATTTAATTGAGCAGATTATTGAAGAGGTGTTTAAAGCAACCCTTGATAAAAACGTGGGAAATACTCATGGACACGAAAATTCATTTAATTGGCTTATAAAGAAGCAACTTCTAGAAGATTCATTGAATTGAGACACCTTTTTGAAGAGACATCAAGGCATCCCTTGTATTTTTATAAGAAAAGACTTAGATTTTCCAAGAGAGGAGGACAGCCTTCCATCAAACTTTACAGCGCTTCGCAGCCGTCGCCGCCCATTGAAAAGACTTAGATTTTCCAAGAGAGGAGGACAGCCATCCATCAAACTTTACAGCGCTTCGCAGCCGCCGCCGCCCATTGCCACCGGCCACCTTTCCTTTATTTTATTTATTTTGAGTGTTAGTTTGTATTGTGAGAGAAGTGAGAAAATTCAAAGGAACTTCAAGACATTTAGTGGAAAAATTTTGAGATAAGTGTTTATCTTTGATCTTTGTATCTAAACTTGGTTTTAATTTATATTTCTTGTTTGTGTGCATGATTTCTACTTTTAAAATCATGTGTGATTGTGTTTTCTCCATGAATTCTAAGTAGTTTTTTTATCTTTTTCCTTAAAATGATAAGTGATTAAATATTTAAAGGAAGTTGTGTGAAGTATCAGATTTCAATGTTAGAAGAAGTTGTGATGATTTAAAACCTTGCACTTCATTTCCTTAAAATGATAAGTTAATTAGTTGCTTACTTTATTGTCAATTATCAAAAATTACAAAAAGAATCGAACTTTCATTCCTACTTTAGCATCATAAGTTTAAGTAAAAAATATTGCTAAGTAAAATTTTGTTATGTCAAATTAGTCCTCCATGTGGGGTCAATATTCGAAACTTGTGTATTTCATGGGGTTGAGTGCAAATACATAGGGAAATATATTTTAAAGGGTTTAGAATTAGAATCAGAAAGTTCTATATTACTTGATAATGATACGTATACTTGCGTAGTATCTCATATTGAAATATTATAATTGCATTCTTATTTGCTTCATAGTGAAAGATTTACCTAGCTCTTGCTTTAGATTAAGTTTTTGGCTTTGTTATTTGGCAGCCGTTGCAAATTAAGAATATTTATTAAGGAAATTAATTGCATACATTGCATTTTACATCTATCTATATACAAAATCGGGATCAAGTTTTTGGCGTCGTTGTCGTTGTCGGGGAGGAGGAGAAATATAATAGTAATTTACAAAAATATTTTCAAAAGAATTTTTTTTTAAAGCAAAATTTTTACAAAGTCTTATTTAAACTTTAAGGTTTATTTTAGGAATATTGTAGTGTCGTTTTTATATACAAAGTCTTTATTTTATTTTATTTTATGTGTTTTATAGTAATGTATGCGTAGTTCAGCTTTCACAAGACTTGTGCCTTACGATTTTGAATTAGAAAGAACTATTAGAAAAATTAAAAAATTAAAAATTACTAAAAAATTTCAAGAAATGGCAAATCAAAATAATCAAAATATTGAAGAGTTTAGACTTTTAAGAGATTATGCAAACCATATGACGGATCAACTTCATTATAGTATTCAAAAACCCACTGTAGTGGCTAATTCATTTGAGCTTAAACCTGTTATTATCCAAATGATATCAAATAATCAGTTTCTGAGAGCACCAACTGAAGATCCAAATTTACATCTTGTCAATTTTCTAGAATTATGAGCTACATTTAAATATGATGGAGTATAAGATGATGCTATAAGACTTAGATTATTTCCTTTCTCACTGAGGGATAAGGATAAGATATGGTTACATTCGTTATCACCTGGATCGATCAAAACTTGGAGTGATTTGGAGCAAAAATTCCTTGCTGAATACTTTCCACCATCAAAAACTGCAAAAATTAGAAATGATATTACATCTTCTTGTTAGTTTGAAGGGGAATCTATTTATGAAACATGGAAACGATTTAAAGAACTCCTAAGAAAGTGTCCACACCATGCTAAATCATATTGATTAATAATTCAAACTTTTTATAATGAATTAGTTGGATCTCTTAGATCTATTATCGATGTCGTTACTGGTGGTTTATTGATGTCAAAACCATTTTATGACGCTTAAGTGTTAATAGAAGAGACAACTATAAACAATTTTTAATGGCATTCTGAAAGGGTAAATATCAAGAAAGTGTCCAATATTCATGAAACTGATGCATTTGCCATGCTAGCGAATCAAGTTGCAGCAATTTCAAGGAAGTTAGACCAATTTGGAATGAATTTTTCTCAACCAATTCCTATGATTGAAGAGAATTTGTCAGGCTAAATGGTAGATTTAAAAGTATTATTAGAAACTTTGAATGTCATAAATAATAAGCAGAATAATCCATATTCAAATTATTATAACTCAGGTTGGAAGAACCATCCTAACTTTAACCGGAACAATGCTTCGGGTGGTAATAATCAACAATGGGGGAATAATCAAGTAAACCAATTGGGAAACTCAAACAATCAAGGGAATATTAATTATAGACCTACTTTTCCTCCAGTTTTTAACTATAAACCACAATTGTCTATAGAAGAAGTGGTGTTACAAATGAAAACTTAGTTACGAAGTCAAGGAACTATAATTAGAAATATTGAGAATCAATTAGGATAAATAGTAAATTCATTAAGTAATTGCTCCCAAGGAACACTTCTTAATAATACAGAAATAAATCCGAAAGACTAGAATAAAGAGCAAGTAAAAGTCATTCACCTCAGAAGTGGAAGAGAATTGGATGGTAGAGATCAAAAAGAGACTAAAGTAGAGAGAGAAGAGATTGAAGAACCAAAGGAGGATGCTCCGAAAGGTTTAGAGAGACTTTTTTCTCCACTTAAAGTTGATTTGAAAAAATCACCACCTCCATTTCTTCAGAGGCTTCAACAACAAAGGTTGGATAAGCAATTTTCAAAATTTTTGGAAATTTTTGAAAATCTTACAATTAATATTCCATTTACTGAAGTTCTAGAACAAATGTCAAGCTATGTGAAGTTTATGAAGGATGTTCTTAATAGGAAAATGAAGTTGGAAGATAATGAGACTGTTGCACTTAGTGAGGAGTGCAATGCCATAATTCAGAAAAACTTCCTTAAAATCTTAAAGATCCTAGCAGCTTTACAATTCCATGTGTAATAGGAGACAGATTTTATGGGAAAGCTTTATGTGATTTAGGAGCAAGCATCAACCTTATGTCATTATCAATATTTAAAAGATTGCGATTAAGAGAAATAACCTCTACTACTGTAACTCTGCAGTTAGCAGATCGTTCAATAATCTATCTTAAAGGAGTTATAGAAGATGTCCTAATGAAAGTGGATCTATTTATCTTTCGTGTTGATTTTATTCTACTAGACATGGAGGAAGATAAGGAGATACCTATCATTTTGGGGAGACCTTTCCTAGCCACAGAAAGAACAATGATAAATGTGCAGAAAGAAGAATTAACTATGTGTGTCAATGATCAAACAGTCATATTTAATATTTCAAATCAATGAAATATCATACAAAAGGTAAAGATGATGCATGTTATAGAATGAATGTTATATGATATTGAAGTGAATGTCATTTCAAACAATTTATGAAGAGAAATCTGGGATGAAAGAGTTGGAAAACGAGTCAGAAGAGGAATTAGATCAATATGAAGATTTAGATAAGGAAGATTCAGACTATGTTCGAGAAAGTTTTGAAGTTTTGGAGACAACATA